AAAATTTTTCATAAAATTTGCATAAAATTTACAAATATTATCAACAAAGAGTTGTTTTTTTTAAGTCTATTACGTTGAGGAGCAAAACAGTTTCGAAAATCCAAAACACATATATTTTTTTCTCCATTATTTTGCTATTCCTTGCAGTTCTTTGCTATTCCTTGCTATTCTTTGTCGCTATTCGTCATTTTTTATCCCACTATAAAATACTATCTAGTTCTTTCATGATCTTCTTCTACTCAACTAGAGTAATTAAAATTATCTGGTACAGTTGCACCTGAAAATTCTTTAGTGACTCTTAAACATTACCCACTAAGGCTATATATTACAAAATCAGACTATCCTGTATAAAAAACGCGCGTGTCTGTTGCAACAAGTCCATTTTAGCAGATGGTACATGTTTTTTAAAAGCAATCTTTCCAACCAACTACGGTACTTTGATCCCGGATATTTTGTGCTGACCTCAACACATACAATCATCATTCCTCTTCACTATTTTCAATCCAATTTTCGGCTATTCTTCTAAAAGTTCTTGTCGATATACCACGCAGTATCAACATTAGACACAATCATCCTTGTTCTTGTAACTTCTCTTTCCCCAACTTTTTCTCACCATCTTAAACGCAAAAGAAGCATTCTAACGACCAAATTGCATTACTTTTCAATGCTCAATGAGGCAGATTGAGCAGTTTTGTACGATTCATGCCGTCTCAGTATGCAAACATATATCTAGAGTGCGTTAGACATTTAAAAGTCATTTTTTACAGCAGCTCTTGATTCTGAGGATATTTTGAGTATTGCTTGAGCTGTATTTTGCTAAAAAATCAAACGGTTGCTAAAAGTAGCTCAGATTGAGATCAGATTGACTTGGCAGTATGGGGAAAATGATCCATTTTAGTGCTTGAATCTCAAGGATATAAGAAAATATACTGCTTATCGACCACACTTATGATATAAGGCGTAAAATAGTCTATATTGTCTTTCGTGTGCAGTTCTCACTTTTTATATGCCCTTCTTAGATTTGACATTTAGAGCAATTTTATCGATGTCAAATTGCTGCCATTTTCAGTGTTTTCAGCTCATTTTTGGTGCATCAAAATAGTAACCAGTATTTTCTAATTTGGAACTTGTACTACTACTCCCTTAGACCTTAGCAATACATTTGTGGTTTATTGAATCTGGTTTTGAGGAATATGATGTACCATATCGAGTTATGATGCGGATAAGATGTCTTTCGTATATATTACACTTTATTTCATTATATAACTGGTTTTAAATTGGTATTTAATGATGCTTGTAAATCTTGAGTAGTTTCCAATCTTAAGGATTCTTCTTTGAGATTGATTTAGTCCGTATATTGTATAGTCTAAATATAACAGTATGCCAAAATTGTGTTTTTAGAGGTTATCAAATGCTTTAGTCGTCAATTTTGCAGAAATCAGAGAGAGAGAGAGAGAGAGAGAGAGATCTTCTGAAGTAAATATATAAATGTGTAATTATGCTTGGGTTTCTCTCAATACAATATGTCATTGGTTTCGTTAAATTGTGCAAAAGATTTTTCGCTTTTTTAAAGGGAATCTGTATTGTTAATGTATAACCAATGATACAATAGCAGCTATTAAAATACAGGCTAACTCACAAAACTGTACATACAATGGTGTGATTTTATTAATACAGTTCTTTTATAGCCTAATAGCTCAAAGTATAAGAACAGAGTTACTTCTTGAATCATCGGTATAGTTGTACCTAACATAGTCTGTCAGGTTCACATTGCATTGCTAAATCTAGTACTACTAAATCCAAGCACAGTCAGCATATTAAAAAAATACATAGTTTGCGATTACTGATTAACTTTTGATTCCATCTGATATGAGCAAAATCAATTATGCACACTATATACTCAATACACTTTTCATCTTCAGTTTATGGCTTTCTCGAATACCAAGCGTATTATAGGATCTTCGTTTATAAACTAACTCTACAATTCGTTTTTGAATAACTTTGACAAGCGTAATGGTTTCACCAGCGGATTGGCGGCCCGCTGCAGGTGCGGGTGTTTATCAGAAACAACCATCATCTTTACCGTCAGGTTCCCTTTTTTTTTAGTTTTCTATCTTTGAGCATACATAATAGAGCATATTCATGCAAAAATATAGCAAGTTTCGAAAAAGTCAAAAATCGTCAATTTATCCTTATGATCCCGGTAGAAGTTTATATTTATTTGAAATGTTTTGAAGACTGGACCCTATGGGGTAAATGTCTAACCATCAGTTCAAAAAAAGAAAAGTACAAAAAAAAAATCATAGAGTGATAACTATAAGAAAAAAAGGGCAGGAAACATAGACGATCATGTACTGTAGTGTATACAGGTAAGAAGAGATAAGAAAGAAAAAAATAAAAGGAAAAGATAGGTGCATAATGGAAGTATAAACACCACAGGATGGAGGACAGAATTAGCTGTCGATTTGTACTGAATATAGCAAGGTTATCAGCCAAAGGAGAAAAGCCAAGCCAGAGGTTTCTTTTTCTTCGCTTGAGAAGGCCCTGTCGGGAAGATCCATACTTTCAATTTCAAGAAATAGTTGGCAAATGATTGGACACCGATCTGACCATCGTGCGTAACGGTCAAATCTTTGAGCTTGTAGGCTTGGAGGGCATGATATTCTAGGCAACTGATTCAAGACATAATTAATTGGATTAGGCTGTATATCAGCTGGTAACCGTAAGCGTTCAGCAGCGCACAGGCAACCGAGTACATGTCTTCGACTGACAGGTGATGTGCCACATGAGCAAGTAGAGGTGTACTTTGGAATCCACCCAAGACGCCAACGGAGAACTCTTTGGCGGTCATAAATCGACATAGGTAGCAGCAAGAGAGGACCAATCTGGCCAACAAAAGGCCTGCAGGCAGAGAGAAGGACGGGGGCATTGGTTTGTGCACGAAGAGCATTCAAATTGCGCTGACGAAGTCCCAAAAGTTGCTTCTTGGCGTTTCCATCAGCTTCAACCCAGCTGGAGAGCGTATTGTAGCTATCGCTAAGGTGTAACCAAATGTGATTCTTGTTTGATACTTGTGGCCAGAGAAAGATCTGCGTTTGCCGAGCAAAGGGGTATGTATCAATGTGTGCTATTATTTGCATTATCAGTGTGTCTTCTGGAAGAGTTTCAAAACGGATCATCATCTTGAAGACAAGGTATTCTTTGCGTTCGGCCAGAGAGGGAAGGTTGGTCATCAGTTTGAACGATCCGGTTGTTCCCTTTGAATGGCTATTGATGCAGAGTCGCAAACAGGTATCTTGTGCATGTTCTAGAGTTGCAAAATCAGATTTTCGGTAAAGACCAAGGCAAATACCATATTCCAATTTTGGACGTATAAAGATACTGTAAAGACGAGCAGCTGTCAGTTTAGAAAAACGAATTTGCTTGAAGAATCCCAGAGAAGAGAACCCAGCATGCATAGCTGTGAGAGCAGACCTTGCGTTTCGACGAATCAAAAGAGAGACATCAACTTGAGCCTTGGTGTTGAATGGAATGCCCAAATATTCGAAAGATGACGCTATTGGTATTGGCGTATCATAGATCGAGTATGGCTGGCTAGGAGCAGGAGCGTCATGATACTCTTTACAAATCTTCAATTCTCACTATTTTGCGATTTGTGATCGATAGAGGCATTGCAGATATAACATGCCTTAGTGCGAATTGTTTCTCTAGGCCTATAGAACACACTGAAAGTGTTAGATTTACAAAAATACCATAAAAAGTGTACGCTACAGCTCAAAAACAGAAAACACGTTTTTGAAGAATAGCTCTATATTTTACTAACAAGTATACTGCGTTTTTTACATCATTTGATGCGTCGTGTCTATATATACTAACTTTGTTAATAGACTTCTCCGATAGCTTTTCGTTTTTGGACAGTTTTAGTCCATTATTTCCCTTGGCTTTTTTTTTTTTTTTTTTTTTTTTTTGTATTGGATGAAAGTTTTATTTGGAAAAATAAAATCACCGTATAAATGGAAACTAGTGTATGTGAAGCAAAGTGACTAGTCATATGAAATATCTTGAAAACAATGCTTTTGTGGAAGCATTCAACACGATTATATGGGTCTTATATAATCCCAATAGAAATAGCCGTCATCTAGGCTACCCTTCAATATGTCCTAAAAAGAATATATTGAGTTTTTCGTTCGTTGCTCCTTAGAGTCAGTATTCTTTATATTTTGCCTTGTTCAATGCTACAGATGGCTATACCAATACTACAAGTAAAGGACACCATTCCACAATGTCTTCAATTACTTGGCACTTAACACAATTGTTGATACCTAAGAGATACAGTCTTTCACAAGAGTTTATAGCAAAATCCGGAGCACCACCAAGAGTGACCAGACCAACTTACTAAAAAATTCTTTAGACGAAAGAAAGGTGGTTTTGGATTCTAATCTTTAACATCAAAGTATCAATTCAATCTCCGTTTTGCTGTTATGATTCTGTCCATGCTAAGCTCCAAGTCTAGAGCATCCCAACTTTTTTTCTTATTTCATTTAACCATGTTCTTATTTGATGTTAACAAATGACTTATCTTTCCCAGGAACACAGACCAAATGTGTTATAAAAACATCCTTCTGTAAATGCACAGAGTCTTCAAGAGCCAACTCTATTTGGAGTTGATTCTAAGGACTAATAAACAGCGTCTTGAGACATGTTTTTTTTGCGTATACTCTTCTAAAGAGAACCAAGGCTTTGTTTGATCTACCTCCTGTCAAATATCCGAAAGGTCGTGACTTGTTCATAATTCCCTTTTTTGGAAAATGTACTTCCTTTCCGACCAACGCTTGATACAATAGCAAAAGAAGCAAATGTAATAGACCTTCTCTCATCACCACATTGTAAGTAGGAGATATGTAAATCTAGAGCTTGGATTGTGTGTTTGATGGATGGATGGATGGTGATCGACTGGAAATGGATGGAATATTGACACTTATTTTATTAGAAGACATACCATGCTTGTTTCAAAGCAGAACAGAAAGGTCATTTACGAAGCTCTTTTCAAGGGTAATTGTCAGCCAACTTGAAACGACTAGTCAGTTTGTTGACGAGTATTTCTATAGACGGTGCTCTTGTCGCCCCCAAGGACTACAACGCTCCCAAGCACACTGAACTTGATGTCCCCAATCTCGAAGTCATCAAGATCATGCAATCCTTGACCTCCAAGGGTCTTGTCAAGACACAATTCTCTTGGCAATGGTACTACTATACCCTCACTGATGAGGGTATTGATTACCTCCGTGAATGTATGTTACTTGGTTAAAATGATATATATTCATGTTTTGCATAGACCTTCATTTGCCTCAAGAAATTGTTCCTGCTACTTTGAAGAAGTCTGCCCGTCCTGCTGCTCCTCGCCGTGCTTGTAAGTAAAACAATAACAAGGATATGCAGATGTTAACAATGCTTTAGTTGGCGGTGAAGGTCGTGAAAACCGTGGTCCTCGTGGTGATCGTGGTGATTACCGTCGCAAGGAAGGTGCTTCTGGTGATTTCAAGCCTGAATTCCGTGGCGGTCTTGGTAAGCTACAACAATGCTGTTAACATGTATATTTATTTCTGGATAGGTCGTGGTAACCGCGAATAAATGCAATATAAATGTTACATATATATAAAGTTACATGGCATTATTTTGCCTTGAATCACATGAATTTCTTTTTTCTTATGATTTTGCATAACATGTACCTGAATTACTTATTTCACTCAGAATCATTCCGGGCCGAAAGAGAACCATAATACTTATGTCCGGAAGATAGGTTCTGCGGTATGAAGGCTGTGTAAGCTGATGGCTCAACCAGTTCTTTCTTCAACACTCAAGGTAATGCATCCATCCTGCAATAGTCATCGATAGCACATCCATCTCTTTTTACAATACAAACAATCCTTTAAAACGGCATAATTTTAATTTACAACAATGGAGTAAATAGACACATACACAACATAAACCTTCATACAACATGATTGAATATCCTTAAAACACAACTTGTTAATGACGCAGATCCCATTTGATAATTAGCAAAAGGATGTGCTCGATGACTATATGTATATGCACTGTTATACATGTATGCTTATTTCAATTCTTCCTTGGTAGAATTAAAAATGGGTCGTCGTCCTGCTCGTTGTTATCGTTACTGTAAAAACAAGCCTTATCCTAAGTCTAGATACAACCGTGGTGTCCCTGATGCCAAGCTTAGAATCTACGATTTAGGTCGTAAGAAGGCTTCTGTTGACGATTTCCCTCTCTGTGTTCACTTGGTCTCCAACGAATACGAACAACTCTCTGCCGAAGCTCTTGAAGCTGGTCGTATCTGTGCTAACAAGTACATGTCCAAGACTTCTGGTAAGGATTCCTTCCACATGCGTATCCGTGTCCACCCCTTCCACGTCACCCGTATCAACAAGATGTTGTCTTGTGCTGGTGCCGATAGATTGCAAACCGGTATGCGTGGTGCTTTCGGTAAGCCCAACGGTCTTGTTGCCCGTGTCAACATTGGTCAAATCATTTTCTCTGTTCGTTCCAAGGACTCCAACAAGGCTGTTGTCATTGAAGCCTTGAGACGTTGTAAGTACAAGTTCCCTGGTCAACAAAAGATCATTATCTCCAAGAAGTGGGGTTTCACTCCTTTGTCTCGCGAAGAATACGTTGAAGCTCGTGCTGCTGGCAAGCTCAGACCTGATGGTTGTTATGTCAAGTTTGTTCCTCAAAAGGGTCCTCTTTCCAACTACTTCAAGGAAGCTGGCAAGGTCTAAATTTGTTTGTTCAAATAAACCAGTTTAAGTTATGTGCGTTATTATCCGATTAAATATGTACATATCCTCTCCCTTTTTTTTTCTTTTTATTATGAAATCTTTAAATGCTGTTCGTTACTTGACATTGTCTTGCAGTTTAGTAGGACTTGCTAGTCATTTTGCTCAATGTACATTATTCTCTGTCTATCAAAGTCAGGCAAGTGACACTCTTACGCAGGAAATATCCAAATTAAGGCATTATTTATATAGACAGGAGTTCCTAGTTGGTTTACAGCAGGGCATTGGCAGGTATACATTCATTTTTGAATCATTCAACTCAATTGTTCTAGTACCTGGCATCGTATGTAGCATATGGTCTGTCCATTGCAAGCGCATTCATGATATGCATTCATGCTACATGTTGTAAGCGTGGACATATAGTAAGAGGAGATAAACTGCTAGGAATTGCCAACACCATTGTACTGGCAGGTGCTGTAGTGATCAATACGTTCACAGACACTCAAGAGCCATGGACACATGGTATTGTTGAATTCAAAGTACCAGCCAAAGGCTTTATCACCTTTTGCTCTTTACTTGATCAAGAACATGATGCTACTTATCCTCTTTTATTTCAAAGGTAATGGATTCATGAGAACAGGAGATTTTTGTGTTGATTCACTGTAGATGTTTATTGTTTAATTGTACTTATATCTTCCTTGTGGCAGTATGTGCTTTATGGATTCTACTTGTGCTTATTTCTTGTTCTGTCAGACCAAAAGAAAAGCCCCTTATGGAACAACTCCCTCAAGCTCCAATGTACCATCTTTGCGCAACAAAAAAGAAGCCAATATTGTTTAACCATTCCGATTTTCAGTATTTTGATCATTCTATGCCACTCTATAGTACGCCAAAAACGCCACGAGTAGGCATAGCCAGAGATCAATGTAACAGTAACAAATTATCTCGTCATCACTTATCAAATGGACTGAATTCACCATCAGCTACTTCGTCATATATTGTAGACTATAAATCTTAATTACTAAAAGTAAGATCAAGGTTGCTGTTAAACTTTCCAAAAAAAGAAGATGAGGGGGGGGGGGAGGTTCTCTACTTGTGTCGTCTAAATTTTGTGATTTTAGATGATATGCAGCAGTATTATTTGCAGTGGGTAATGGGAAAACAATAACTGCCTTTTCACATGATGATGATGACAAAGTGCATTCAGCCATATTTTATTGTGAAACTAAACATTACTGTGTTCTCAAAAGCGCGGTTTGGTTGAGCTTTGTTAGCAAAAGACGTATAATGCGAATTTGCTTTGTATCTGTCTAGCAATGAACTTATTCCATTTTTTCAGATACTAAAAGATACAATTTCCTTTACTAACCTAAAAGAAACGACACCTTTTCCTTTTATAGAACTCTAAACACAAGCTTCTCAGACTTAAAAACTAAATGAACGCCCGAGAAAAATTCATATGACATAATGGCTTTGTTTTATTGCATATAGTTGCTTAATATTGATAGTTGTTGTTATAGTACTATGCATACGTTAGTAGCGAGTGATGGCTTATGAAAAGACAAGCATGGGAAAAAACGAATGACCAATTATAGGATATTCTTGTTGTTGTTTTCGTCAAGCATCAGAATTTTTGGGATCAATGATATCAGCTAAAAGCGTACAAGAAGAATGATGCATACCATATTCAGGAACACAGTAATCACATTGAAGAATCGGGAAAATTCGTTCAGGCACAGACAGCTGCTCAATATGACTTGAGTCGTTAGTACTAACATTAATGAAAGTGTTCTCATTGACTGTGGAGGGCGTCTGTGTGGCATTCTGATATTGAGGCACCCCATATGATTGTTGCCAATTTTTTCTGTCCTTGGAAGGGGCTGGTAACAATATCCTCCTTTTGGGGGCAGATTGTTGCTGAATGACAGGGTTTTTCATGAGATATTCTCGCTCAATACATTTGTTCTGGTGAGTAGTGAATCCAGCATTTCGAAATCCACGTTGGTCATATCTTGGAAACTGTTTTTGACAGATTTTACATCGAAGGAACTCAATATGACCTTCCATTCTGTATAGTTGGATAGTCAACATTCTTTTTTTTTGTCAATATAGAAAAAGAGGATATGATGATTATAAACTTTTTTTTTATTTCTTTTTCAACAATCACTTTATTATCATGTATTACACCATCTAAATCAAGAATGTATTATATGCAGTTCGTCGAAAGAAAAAGGCAATTATCCGTTCTTTTTGAGTAGTTTAAACAAACATAAAATCAAAGCTATTTTTGGTGTCACACCTTTTTGATTTATTTATAATATACATTGTGCAATATTCCTACAAAGAATATTTGTTTTTCTTCTATTCACACTAGGAAAAGAAGAGGCCCAGATAGATGCTTTTTCTCCATATTTGTCCAATTAGTTAATCTTCAAAGACAAACTTCTACTTCTTCTATATATGGTGGAGCTTCTGATTAGGCATAAAAATCATTGCATTAATATGTCAATGTCGGAGACGAAGACAACTTGAGAAAGCTTGAAAAATAGAAAATTTTGATTATCGATAGAAATATTTGGTTATCACAAATAGAAAGAAAAGGACTTGTAGCAGTTCTTCCAAAACTAAATTCACTACTTATAAGCTTAAATAGTCTAGCTAATGGTCTTTCACTTGTTCTCTGTTTTGCATGATATTTGTAGGCAGATTTAGGTTCAAAATCATAGATTAGAGAAATCAACAATGATTATACTTTTTTGATGTCTAAACCATGGCAAGCGGAAGAGCCTAACCTAATTTAGGTGCTTCTTTAACCATTCATATATCTGAAGATTCTTCTTCCTTCAATGAAATTGAGATATCCGAAAGATTCTTAAAAAATACAGCACAAAAGTATGGAAAGAATACAAGTTTATAGATTTAGTTTTATAGGAACTGTTATACATTTTTTTTCTTTTCTGTTCTATTTGTAATGGGTATATTGATGGTCAGACATTTCTATCGATAATCAAAAATTTTGTTTTTCCAAAAAAGCACTCTATTTCACTGTATATATATATATATATATAAAGAAGGGGTGAAGGGGAAAGAACTACCATCCGTTCTCTGCATTTTTTGTACGGAGATATTCATAAATTTTGTTTCCAGTCTGATCTTCACGGAGATGAATCATATAAACAATGCTAGTTTTTGTCGACTCGTCCACTAACAAGAATGTAATACGTTTTGGACTGATTTTTTCTACATTTCCGCTTCGAACAATGGCGCTGACTAATTTGGTCTTATCATTTTCGATTTGGATCAACATTCTTAAACTTGGAGACTGCTGCGAAATACGCATCGTTACGCTACCAAACGTACTCCAACTTGATGTTTCGTTTTTAACAAAAAGCTTTGCCTTACATTGCATCACTGGCTTCAATGTCTGAGGCACATTTACCGTATCAACAGGTTCAGGATCATCATAAATATCTTCTGTATGTTGAAGACTAGGCTGTATCATGGTCATATTCATGGATTCTTGATGTGCTTGTTGCAAAATGCTGAAGAAAATATTGGCGTCTTGAGGATGCTGGAAATGAACCAAATAATTTTCTTTTTGCGTGCCCAAATAGAGTGAGATGCTAACATCCGTAGGTGATGGATGTCTTATCACTGTATCCGACAAAATCCAAGCGTTCAAATACAGTTGCCCAGTATTTTGCAGCTCTACTGAGACACATGTATAATTACTATGTGTCAATCTCACTTCAAGCAAACACCGTCCTTCTGCTGCATACCAAGACTGGTCATTCCAATGAAACACTTCACATTGCTGATTGCTGAAAAGAACTTGTCGTATTTCATTACCCGCATTATGTAGGCTAGGACTACGAGGAAAATTGAAATCTTCTGCAGAATGATAATGTTGAAGCTGTTGGCTAGGGGATGGCGAAGGAGCATTAAACCTAGCAGGTGCCTGTTGCTGTTGGTTTTGTTGGTGTTGTTGGTGTTGTTGGTGTTGTTGGTGTTGTTGGTGTTGTTGGTGTTGTTGGTGTTGTTGGTGTTGTTGGTGTTGTTGGTGTTGTTGGTGTTGTTGGTGTTGTTGGTGTTGTTGGTGTTGTTGGTGTTGTTGGTGTTGTTGGTGTTGTTGGTGTTGTCGTTGTTGTTGTTGTTGTTGGTGATGATACTGCATTTGTTGTGGATGTTGAGGTGGATGTTGAGGTGGATGTTGAGGTGGAGGAGGTCTTCTCATACCGTTTGACATATGAGGAGAAGGTGATTGGTGTCCCATAGGCTGTTGTGGATAACCAGGTCTATGTTGCTGATGAGGTGGTGGAGAAGGCATTGGCTTATTGTTATATCCCATAGGAGGTCTTTGCTGAGCCATAGGCGGTCTTTGTTGAGGAGATCTGTGATGCATAGAGGATGTTCTTGGAGCAGCATGAGAAACTTGCGTTGGACGGTTTGGTTGATGTCTATCATTTTGTGATAAATAGTCATCTGTTTTCTGGGTCACTGCTTGCATTGCTTTGGGAATAACAGCTCGTTGAACCTCTACAGCTCTTGGAGAGGAAGGCTTACTTCCTTCATTGTTCTTCAATCTATCAGGTGAAACAGGCGAAGAATTGATTTTGTTCATTTGTTGATTTGGGAAAGAAAGAGAGGGATCAAGTTCAGATGCTTTTGAGATTGATATTGTTGCAATTTGGGCAGTAGGTGGTTCAATATAGGTTATTTGAACATGGGAAGCAACTTTAACTGGATCTTCAGCAGCTGGTATTTGGTGATTAATAGGAGGCCAATTATTGTTCTTCACGTTGGACTTGTCTTTATTTGGTGTTAGGATAATTTCTTCTTGAGCTTGAGGGCTGTTCGAGACATCAGAGGCTGTCTTTGGAGCTTGAAGAATAGCTTCAGGTGATTCTTGGCTACTATAGGCATGATTGTCGTAGATATCCATGATTGTATCTCGATACTTGTTATTGTCGTCTTCTTCATCAGAGCTTTCTAAAGGAGACACAACTTCAGACTCAGAATAGAAAGTAACAATATCTGTGTTTCGAATGTTGGCATTCTTTTTTTCCACCATCTTTTTAGCATCTCTGGCATTCATAGGCATTGGCGGCAAACGAATACCATAGTTTGTAATAGGTCTGTTTGAAAGCATTTTTTTCTGAGCAGCGACACTAAGTGTTCGAGGGGCAAGCACAGTATCTTTCGAAGCTTCAGCGTCCACACCAATCCACGTGTTTCTAATTTCCTTGGTCTCGGCACACAATACAATCTGCTTCTTTCCTAGTATCGAGAGTCGAACGATATACTCTCCTTCTGCTTCCCTCTCTAGTTCTTCGGCTTTAACCGTAATATCACTGATGGGGATTGCAGGATACAAAAGCATGAATTTACCAGATTCACGACAGATTACCAAGACTTCTGTAGTAAGCAAAAGGTGAACTCGAAAAGATGATTCAGACAACATGATAAAACTATCCTGCATCACAAGTTGCGTTCCTGGATTTGAGATATGTAGCTGATAATTCTAAAAATACAACAATCAATTTGTTGATCTCTAATAATAGAGTTACTTACAATTTGCTCGCCACTATAAAGATCGACAACCTTTGAGCAATCAACCTGCAACTCAAATGCTGCTAATTCAGGATCCTGTTGTGGTTTTCTTGGTGATTGAAAATTCGTCTGGATAAAAGGTAACTGAGGCGGCTGCATAGTACGAACCATCTTCATGATGGTGTCAATTTGCTTATTAGCATTCAACAAGAGTGTATGATCAGCACGTCCAGGATCCGTACTCTCTAACAGTCTCTGTGTATTCTAGTCAGCATACAAACAATAAATAGGTTTCTTCTCCTTACATTGTACAATCCTTTATAGTATTTGAGTTGCTGAATAGGTGCATTGAACAGAGATTCCAATGTCACTTCATATGAAGCTCTGGCAGATAATTCCTATTTTAACAGTCAATACAGTGCCACTGAGAGTCAATGTGAGATGTACCTGAAGTACAGATCGCATTGCTGCATTACCAAGAATATCTTGACGCTGATTCAAGTTTGGAATAAAACTTCTTGAATAATTTGCATAAGGCACTTCTAGATCATTAACCTAAGCATATTGTTAATACTCATTCAAGGAACTTACTTTTGCCTTACCCATTGCATAAGTGCATCACCGAGATCACTGATAGGTTGAGAATTAGTAGCAATTTTGGTTAGTTTCTATAGAATGGTCAATAGGCAATCAAATTGGATCAAATCAAAGTACCATGCAGAATCGTTTGTTTGCTTTGAGAACATCATGAGCGTATTTCAATAGTTCAGAAAAGTCGGGTGCAGCTGAATTCATTTGTCTTATCCAGATAGGACCAATATGCTTTATTAAAGAAATTAGTTTAGCTGTAATCTGTAGCTGTTGCTTACCGAGTCAATCATTTTTAGTGTCTCCATAAAGGTCTGTTCTGTTTCAATAAGCTCTCTTAAAGGGTTGCTGCTAGTCTTTCTAGAGTCATGAGAAAGTTGGGAAGAAGGTGTCGAGGTACCAGTCCTAGGACTGAGTATACCTGAAGAAGATGAAGAGACAGTCGAGGCGGAAAGCATAAAAGAGAAAAGAAGCAAAAAAGTTCAAAAAAGAAGGAGTGTAAGAAAGTTTGTACAAAAAGCAAAGAAAAAGAACAATAATAATAATAATAAAAAAAAAGATGGTCTGAAAGGGTATAGTCCGGTTAAATTGGTAGTAAAGTTTGCACTTGTTTCCGCTCAACCTGATAGGGTCCTCGCAAGATAATAGCAGAAAAAAAAGAGCTATAATCATCACACTCTTTGCTTAGCCAATAAACCAAAAATAAGCGACTTAAATCTCTATGCTTTATAAGGCATGGGCTATGATACCATATCACAGCAATCAAATAGAATAAACATTTATTACATACTGAATGCAATTCATTAACTTGATCCTTTCTTACAGCAATGAAATTTCTAAAAGCCTCTCATCTACAGCTTTTATGGTCTTTCGTACTATTTTACCCTTGAAGAGTTTCATATAATCTATCTTATATGTAAAGTATATCTAAATGGAATTGCTGAAATCAACTTACCTTTCAGCCAACCATCCTGGCTTTTTAACTTTGACAACAAACAGCTCAAAGTTGGTTACAGTAAGTGACTTGTCCCTTCTTTGATACTATCCTAAGGGTTGTAAAAAGTAATTAAAATTCACCGTTTGTGGTTTTTATGTCTTTTTTTTTTTAATGTTGTTCAATAACGTATATAAAAAGGAAACAATGATCTTCATGGCGACTTTTTCACCTTGATTGTTGCAACATACCATTGTTCGCTTATTAGGTCGCCATATTTGTTTTTGTCAAGTTCCTCCTCTTATGGCATCTTATTTATTCTGTGACACCTTGTAACTACCTTTTGTCAACTGACTTGCTCTTCTCAGTTCGACGCTATACATGCTTAATTAAACAAGGAATGAAAAAGGTCTTGAGCAGATAAGTTAACCGGTCGATGTCGTCAACGGCTCTATAGCTTTAGCTTTTTTCAATTGAATTTTGCCATGTTGAATGTGGGTTTGGACAGAGCGAAAATTTTTAGGGGTTATATTTCCATTTATTTGGGTTGTCGTGTAGTCCATCTATTGAAAGAATGTATATTGATTTGATAGAAGCATCTCTTCTAACCCAAAGAAGCTGTTACCTAAGAAAGTTGACAATGGGCAAACACATTTGACACCATATTCTTTGATTCCCAAACAAACCATTGTTTGTTATTGATAGTACAAAGTTACTAGTTTATAACTTCCAATTGAGATTATAAACTGGCTTCGAGACACTAAGTGAACAAGAAACACACAAAAAAAAAAAAAAAAAAAAAAAAAAAAAAAAAACCAGTAACTTGAAGTTTTTCAAGTAGAAGAGCTAATGATCTAAATTTATTTAAGATGTTTTTCAGAAAACTGATGACCATTAAGGTTCAAGAAAAAGAAAATGTTCCTGTAGAGTATGAGTGTTAGAGGCAAGTAATAAACTAGAATATTTTACTTAAACTTTATAATTACCTTTCTCAAGTGTTTGATGCTTAATGCAGTAATATTTGACGAATGACCGACAGAGAACACAGGAAGACTTGAAAAGAAATCAAACTTGATACCAGAAATCTCTTCCTAAAAAAAAGTATTAGCAATGTAGATAAATACTGTCATCTGAATGGCAATGTCAGTTCGCTGACTACCCTGACCAAGAAACAGCAAGAAAGCCGAATAGCTAAGCAATCTCAGCTTTTCTTTGCCACCGCAAGGTGATGGAGTTTGTCTCAGCTTGGGATAGCTGGCAAGTCTAACAGAACTGAGCTGGACAGTACAGGGCTTGTCTTTCAGCGTCCCTCAACAAGCGCTATACGGGTCTCCTTTCGGGCAAGTCCAGTCTTCCAACAGGAAAGCAGTTTCAAGAAAAAAAGAGATTAAAAAAAGAAATCAAAAAAAAAAACTTCGTCATCATTTCTGTCAGCCAATAAAAAGAGGTGTTGCTACAGTTATGCGAAACTGTTCCTTTTTCTTTACCACGAAAGTGTTTTCAAATAAAGTGCACTCATACGCCTACAACTAGCTCAATAAGTTAGAAGGCTATACTTGACAAAATGAACAGCAGTCCTTTTCAGTTCAAAGCTCCATTGGACATTAATGTATCAGAATTCTTCAAAGACTATCCTTTGGCAGACTGGAATACGATACAATATTATTCGTGGTATTTGTTGTGAACATATATGAATTCATATGCATAGATCAATAAATGATGATCATGGTAAAAGACCAGATCACATCTATGGCAATTGCAATGGATCTATAGTCACTGACATTCACACATTCTACTAGAAGTACTACATCATCCTCATAGTCAGAGATTATGAACCTAGTGACTCTGTTATTATCAATGGCCCTCATAAAGTGACAGTTAGAGCTGACAAATACATTAGCATTGGCATTTGACAATATTTTGACCGAGAAGAAAAAGTATAAATACCTTGACATTTTATAGCAATTGAAAGACAACATTTCTTGGAGAAAAAAAAACCTATACAAGTTCTAACGGACTTTCTCTGTGTTCTTACCTTTTCTCTTTTGAATATCTATTCTCTCTTCATCTCATAACAGTATTCATCACGCCACCCATTCGCAAAATTCAAGTCTATAAATCGTAAGTTCCTTGATGACTTAGAAGCAATCAAGAAGCATCCTACGATTCCCAGAAAAGTGCTTAGCTTAATTCCTAACCTGAAAAAAAAGGCAAGTCTCTTCATGCACCCACTAACAGCCATTTTAATCATCATTCTTCAGTGTAAACGCAAGCAAGACGAGGCAGTTCCTATCGTGAATCATAACACTAACATCCACGACAATGATGCTGTTTTTACTGGTCCTGTAAAAAATGCATATGTTCATCCTTCGCCACCTACAACTGCTGAAGCACCACCTACAACTGCTGAAGCACCACCTACAACTGCTGAAGCACCACCTACAACTGCTGAAGTACTACCATACGATATTGATATCAATAACTCAATCTTTTCTACATTATTCGATTCAATGTTTAAATTGGCAAGTATTTTGATGATCAAAAAGCTTAATTGGCTAATTGTATTATAGTATAAGAACAAAGTGGTAGATTTAACTAAGCACAGGTTTTCGGATAGTCCAAGTTTGGTTGCTAAATTATACAACCATTGTATAAACATGATGAAAAACTTCAAGGCACTCAATACAGAAGAAAGATCTTACTTGCAGTAATATCTACATTTTGTTTCATTGACCTGATTATTTTTAGTGTCTATCTTTCTGGATGCATAAATCTAATTACTACAAGCCATCGTAAAACCGCAACACAAGTTATTGGCAACAACGCCCTCACCCAAATTATTCATCAACACCAACCTGAGCAATATCTCAACTTTAATAACGATGAATGGATAAACTTGAAGCTTGAATTACAGAAAGAATACACTGAACGGAAGATAAATGGCCTACGTTTGTTTATCTTGAAAAAGAGAGAGTCAGTCTATCGTTCTCTGCCACATGTTTCAAGAAGTCAGTCACTGATATTGAAAGTCTGCGATATTTTCGAATATTTGTAATGAAATCTTGGGATTGGATTTTGAGATAGAATTTAACTAGTTTGTTATATTTTGTTGATAATATAGTAAAAGCTTTATTGATATAAGTATATGATATAATTGATAATGTAATATTGAGTTATCTTACTTTTTCTAATTCTCGAGTAATGCTTGAGACAAAATCTGAAGAAAAAAAATAAAGTGATAGGATAGATGATAATTATATAAAAAATTGAAGGATATGTGTAACAGGTACACAACAAAAAAAGAAAAGGGAAGACAGAGACAACTCAAAGGTATACTAAGTACACACTATTTCGCAACCTTTCAGTAAGTATATGATCATATCTAGTATTATAACTTCATCATTATTATAGGCTCAATCATGTTGAATATGGCCAAGTGGATGACGACTCAGAGGACTTTTATAGCAGCACTTGGAAACATATTTTAGCCGTTTTGTTTCGAGGTTCTGGGCTAATGTTTCGCAGGCAAGTTCATATTTTTTTCTAGAGGACCTGTCTCTTATTTGACTTGGTTTCTTATATAGAGGTGAAAGGACATGTATTGCAAGCAAAATAGACAAGTTTGTAAATCTACAGGATAACAGCGAGCAAACTAAAGGGTTGATGGGATCAAGAATGGACCTCATAATATCTGGAAATATCACTAATGATCATGGAAATGAGGAAGCAATTGAATTCGGGTCAATTGAAATAAAAAAACAGGACGTATCCGACGAGACTGCCAGCATTCAACTAAATAAGAACATTCGTGTAAACAAAAATATCTTGAAGCGACTCAACAACCACATTCATCAAGATGACATATCGTCGTTTACAGTGATGGGAATGGATATAATTGGAGACAATGCGTTCATATATTTTATAAAGCCTTACGAAGATATTGTAACTGCAGTCAAAACATCTGACGAGCCATTGTTCATACCAATTGACGAAGATGATCTACAAGAATATATCTTTAGTGCAAGCCTTGACCAATTATTAAACTATCAGATAAATTTTGAGCATAGAATGAATGACACTTGATATCGCATAACATATAATAGCAACATGTTGTGAGTCTTTTCCAAAAAGTGAACAGAGCATCGAAGAAATACAAGAGAAGACGAGCCACAGGCAAATACACATTAAATCAAAAATTTCATTCTCCTCCCTCTTCACCTGTTCCAAATGCAACATTCTACACACCAAAGAGAACCACAACCACAACCAACTTAAAAATTTAAATGGTTTTTATGCAGCCGTTCCATTGCCTTATCAGAAATATAAAGAAAAAGATAGAAAACAATATTTGTCTATCAAACACATTTATCAAAAAATAGCATTCTAAAAAATGTAAAGAGTTTTCATGCTTTTAAAGTTTGTTAAGGGCAAATAATAAATATATTTAAATGAAAACAGCCACTTTTCTGGAGTGAACAGAGTGTCCACCAAAAGAAATGGATTTTGTGTTTCTATTATATTGAAAACAAAGCATTTCTCTGAGAGCATTTACTACATATTTCACTTTCGTTTCGGCAACTTCTGAATTTCGTACCTTTTTTTTTATTTACTTATGACCTCAATAGCCTACACAAAGACCTCTTTATTGTATTCTTTTTATCCTTTAAGCATGTGTAACAAACAAGAGCCCTCTTTCGCCTATTGAATTAGAGTAACACAAATAGATCAAGGTTGTATTAAAATGACAGTCTGAACAACGTCAGACTGAAGTTAAAGAAAAAGTTAAACTCAAGTCCACATTAAAGAAATGTATATATCAAATCTTAATATAAACTAAGCTTCAATTATCTCCTGCATCAAAAATGAATAAAAATGCGCATATCTAAACATCGCTGAATCTGTCAAAACAACATACCAATCGAATTTTTTCCGTGTAATAACAAGAATCTATAAAAATAAGCTTTTCATTCTTATTTTTTCTTTTATCGACATGGCAAAACCGAAAGGCTATCATAAGTTCCTTTCGCTGGCTCTATTGGTGTCGTCTGTTGTCGCGCATGAAGGCCGTGGAACAGGACTAATTACTCGTTGCGAAGCTCCTGGAACAAATGGCTATTTCGTTTCCAGAGACAAGTTTCCTTATTCCAGTGCAGAATCCGCATGTCATGCTTTAGGTGGCTACTTGGCAGATTTAAGTGATCAGAACTTTTTAATTGCCTCCGATTTTGTATTCTCTTGTGCCGGGCCAAATAAGCGTGCATGGATTGGGTGAGTTTAATTATACTTTTTTCCTGTCAAACGCTAACCTTATATTATGGTCAGATCATGGAACTATAATCAAATCATAGATCTTAATTCGGATTGTTTATCCGTATTTGTTGGCAGTGCTATTCCAAGTGGTGGTGTTGATAAAATTTGTCCTGGTGATAGACCTGTCTTGTGCCAAGTGTCTCCATCAACTGTAACTCACAATTCTTTGTACTCTCAGACTGATGAAGGAAACATCTTGCATACAGCACCAATTTCTATGCATATTCCTCAAACAATTGATGCTGGTCCATCACACTATCCATACTATCCTCCTCCGGTTTATGCTCCGGGTTATCCCTATGCCTATCCTGGTGGATATCCTATTCCAGTATACCCCCATAGCTATCTTAAAGACAAGAAAGAAGGCCATAATGAAACTGTTACTATTCTTGGTCCTACAGAAACTGTTACTGTTAATGGCCTTATGACTACATTAACTTTGTCTGGCTTAGAGAGAACAATTACGGTTAAAGATGTGCCATCTACTTTGACATTGGACGCCATTGTATCCACTTTTACATTGGAAAATGTTCCGGGCACTATTACTAAATTTATTGATGCGATTCCCGTCACTGTTACTTTGAACAATCCTCCTGCTACTGTAACCATGGTTGGCACAACAACGTTGACTAATTTCGATATGTCAACAATCACTCTTTCTGGTGTAGAGACTACTATTACAGTTCTAGAAGAAGGACCTACTGTTACTCTTCAAGCTAGTACAGTTGTTGTCGATGGTGTTCCTTCTACTGTCACAGAAATCATCAATGGCATCCCTGTCACTGTGACTCTTGATCCTATTCCAACAACAGTTACTCAAATTGGTACAAGCCTTATCACTCAAGTTGATGTAGTCACTAGCCTTGCCACATTGATCAAGCCAGAAACTCAATTTGTTACCCTTCCTGAAGTAACAAAGGTGTTGACGTTACCTGCTGTGGCTGAAAGCGTTATGCTTCCTGCTATTACTCAATTTGTCACACTCCCAGCAAGCACAATCATTCAGACTTCAATCTTGACACTTCCTCCAAATATTGTTACTAGTATAACAACAACTACTTTAGCTGCAAATACAATTACTCTTCCTAGCCTTCCTGCAGTTACTGTCACTATACCTCCTTTGCCTGCAAGCACAGTCATACAGACTGAAATCATCACGCTTCCTGCTAATACGGTTACTTTGCCTGGAATCACAGTGACTCTACCTGGCGCCATTCCTTCTGCAAATACCGTCACTTTAGTTAGCACATCAGTTGTTAGCTTACTTACATTTACCAGCACTGTCATTGCAACTGCAACAGCTACTGTCATCAATCCAGTAGCTAACTTGGCCACATCAACTGTCACTTTGAAAGCAAGTACAATAACATTCAGTCCTAGCACGGTAACCATTGATCCTAGTACCATTACTCTCCCAGGAAACATTATTCCTCTTCCTTTGGGAACAATAACTCTTCCTGGCAGTACATTTACCTTGTCTCCAAGTATAGTGACACTCTCTCCAAACACAGTGACTCTTTCACCTAATACAGTGACACTTCTTGCTCCTCCTGCTTCTACAGTTGTTCTTCCAGCTGTTACATCGACTGTTGTTCAATTGGATCTCAAACAAGTAACAAGCACAGTTTCAGTTCCAGGCTCAATCTCTACACAATTTATTACTGTGATGAATCCTGCTACAGGTGCAGTCCAGACCGTTACCCAAATTGCAGGTGGCCAAGTTTGCCCTACAGTTAGCAACATCTTTGGAGGTCCACAAATTACTTATCCTGGAGGCTTTACTTTTCCTTTCAGTATCCCAAACTTTAGTGGTCCTGCCACTTATACCCTTGGACCAGGAAACACAATCAAAGTAGATCCTAATGGTTCTTATTCTTATTTGAATGGTGCAATTGACATGATTATTGGTACCCCAACACAAGGATCAAGTTTTACATTCCCTTTTAGTATTCCTAGCTTCACTGGACCTGGCTTATATACTTTGGCTCCGAACAATGTGGTTTCAGTTGATCCAAATGGGCAATATACTCTTCTTTCCGGTCAAGACCAAGGCCCAACAATGGTTGATCCTGTATATACCATTACTTTTGCTAGCATCACATTGCCTACATTAAGTCTTCCTACACTCGACTTAGGTAATGGATTCCGTGTTGCAAACTATCTTGGTGCTAACATCTATACTTTGGATCCTAACAATATTGTTTCAATTGGTACTAATGGTGATTACTCTTTCATTATTGGTGGAAATGGAAACACAAGAGGCAGTGTCACTCTTCCTTCTGTCACTTTGCCTACCCTTACTCTTGCTCCAGGCATTGCTTTACCTACTTATACAGGTCCTGGTGTATATACCTACACGCCCGGTAATGTTGTGTCTATCGCCCCACTTGGTGGTGTTTCGTGGCTTCAAGGTGGTCCCCAACTTGCATCTAGTGGTGGTTTCATTTTCCCTAGCTTCACTTTCCCCATCATCACTGTTCCAAGCCTTACTGTTCCAAGCCTTACTGTACCAATCGTTACTATTCCAACCATTAGTTTGCCAAGTGTTACTTTACCTAGTATCTCTCTACCTCAGATTACTCTGCCCAGTATCTCTTTACCTCAGATCACTTTGCCCAGTATCTCTCTTCCTGGAATTACTTTGCCAAGTATTACTTTGCCTAGTATATCTTTACCTCAAATCACTCTGCCTAGTGTCTCTTTACCTCAAACCACTTTGCCCAGCATCTCTTTACCTCAAATCACTTTACCTACCTTAAATCTCGGTAATGGTTTGAGTTTGCCTTCTTACAATGGCCCTGGCATTTATACTCTATATCCTAGTAACGTTGTCTCAATTGGTACAAATAGTGTTTTCTCCTTCCTTACTGGTAACATTAATGGTATCTCTCTTGGTACAGTTAGTATTCCAAGCCTATCACTTCCTACACTCTCTCTTCCTAGTGGAATCAACATTCCTAACTATTCCGGTCCTGGTATCTACACACCCTCACCTGGTAACGTCTTATCTATTGGTCCATTTGGTGGTATTTCTTGGCTTCAAGGAGGGCCTCAGACCACATCTGGAGGTGAATTCGGCTTCCCTAGTCTTACATGGCCACCAATTACTTTACCTACTTTCAATTTGCCAAGCATCTCATTACCTACAGTAACTTTGCCTTCAATTAATCTTGGTGGTAGCCTTAGTGTGCCTAGCTTCAGTGGTCCTGGTGTTTACACAATTAACTCTGATCACATTATCTCAATTGCCTCTAACGGCGTGTTCACTTATCTCTCTGGAAGTGGCTTCTTGGGCGGAAAAGACGGAACTCTTTCGTTACCCTCTGTCTCTCTGCCTACACTTACGCTGAGCGGAGGTATTCCTATCTCTAATTTTGCAGGTCCTGGTATCTATACCGTACTTCCTGGTAATGTTCTATCAATCAACTCGCAAGGCGGCATTACCTGGCTTCAAGGTGGTCCTCAAAGTCTCTTTGGAGGCGGGTTTACTTTACCGGGTTTCACTCTTCCCACTGCAAGTCTTCCAAGCTATACAGTTCCACCAATATCGTTACTTCCTATAACTTTCCCATTTGTGTCTTTGCCTACACGTATTTTCCCTAGTGTTGTTTTACCAATCAACGTTCCAGTTCCCAGCTACACTGGTCCAGGCATTTATACAGTTGGTCCTAATTCTGTTGTATCTATTGATCCTAGCGGTACCTACTCTTACCTTACAGGCAGCGGATTTTTGGGTATCAAAACTGGTAACATTGCCCTTCCTACCGTAAGCCTTCCTACTTTGACTCTTGGCGGAGGCTTGCAACTTCCTTCTTACACTGGACCTGGTCTCTACACTCCCACACCCAGTAACGTTATTTCTATCAACTCTAATGGCCTTCCTCAATGGGTCTCTGGTGGTCCCTTGTCATTAAGTTCTTTTGTTCCTACATCGGTTGCTCTACCTACAATCACATACCCAGCTTTTGATTTGCCCATAGGTGGCCATATTGCAAGCTACTCTGGTCCTGGACTTTATACTCTAAACTCAAACACAGTTGTTTCAGTCGGCCCTGGAGGTGCTTACTCTTATGTTAGCGGCTCTGGCTTTTTTGGTATGAAAACCGGATCAGCTACCTTTCCTACTATCAGTTACCCTTCATTGAGTCTTTTTGATACTTACCGGATCCCTACTTATGCTGGTCCAGGCGTGTACACTTTGAGCCCTGGTAATATCGTCAGTGTTGATCTAAATGGTCTTATTCAATGGCTTGCAGGCGGTCCACTCAATGTTCCTTTCATGTTACCCACGACTACTCCTCTTGGATTAAAAACCATCTGTTCCGCCCCTGTAGTTACAACCACTTGTAGCCCTACGTTCAGCTTTCCTTTTGATATCCCCAACTTTGCTGGACCTGGTGTTTACATCCTAGAAGGCAATAATGTGGTGCAAGTGAACAACGATGGAAGCTATGTCTTTTTAAGCGGTGGCCCTCCAATCAGCACTATTGCCTCCTCAAGCGGTTTTGTGCTTCCTAGCTTAAGTTTACCTAGCTTAAGTCTTCCTGGTCTCAGCTTACCTACCTTCACTTTTGGCAGCGTCACTATTCCATCGTATACAGGACCAGGATTCTACGTACCTAGCCCAGGTAATACTATCTCCATTAATTCTCAAGGTCTTCTTTCAATTGTTTCAAACACAGGCATAATTGGAGGTGCTACAACAGGTGGTTTCATCAGTATTCCTAGTATCACTTTGCCTCAGATTACTTTGCCCACTGTAACACTTCCTGGTGGCTATGTTGTTTCAAACTATAGAGGCCCTGGCTCCTATACAATCCAGCCCGGTACAGTCATTGAAGTTGATTTATTTGGCTCTGTATCTTTCATTCAAGGCGCTCCTCTTTCAACGAATATCAATACTTCTGGATTTGTCCTCCCAACATTGTCTTTCCCTAGCATTGTGTTGCCTACCATCTCTTTGCCCAGAATTAGTAGTTCTAACATCTTTGGTTCAATTACCAGTGCTTCACCTTTGACATCTAATCCTGCCTTGTTGCCTTTGAAAACAACCATCAATAACATTACCTACAGTTTCCCTTTTAATGTGCCCAACTTTTACGGACCTGGCCTTTACGTCTTGAACTCTGGTGTTCTTCAAGTAAACAGAGACAGCACCTATAGCTTTGTTACTGGTGGACCTCCTAAGGCTAGAAGAAATCGATTAGAAGCCGTGGATGAAAAACAACCTTCTACTAGTGAACTTGCCACAGCTTCTGAGAGCAGTGGATTTGTTCTGCCTGGATTCTCATTCTCTGGATTTTCTCGGCGTGCAGAGCCCTCTTCTAGTGAATATTATTCAAGAGAAGCTTCTGAAGAAAGCAACCATAGAGACCATGCTGGTTTTTTGAGTAGTGTTCTTGCCCTTTTCTAGACATTTATACATCATCTTTTTTATTACTAAATAAACAAGCTTTTAATTTTTATTCTTCTGCTTCTTGCTCAGCCATAGCAGCTTTTGCTTCCTCTACTTCATCTTGCATGATTTTCTTGCGTGCTAAAGCAGCTTTAGCCAGATCGAGACGGTTATACTTTTTGAAGATGAGAGCTAAACGTCGATCGGCCTCCATGCGTTTCTGTACATTTTCCAAGTAAGTGTCCATGTCCAGAATACCTGTTTGTACTTGAATCACAAGCATATTCATCTTGATTTCTAACGCTTGTTTTCTGTCCATTAAATCTTCTTTTATTTTGGCCGATTGTTTCGTTACTAGATTGGCATTGACTATTTTTAATTCATGCTCCAATACCATGTTTGAAACAATATTATCCACACTAGAATAAAAAAAAGGAGTGGTTAGTAAAAAGCGCTCTTGGTTTTTGTCTATTATTCATACTTGTTGAATTCTTCTTCTGCCGCTTCTAGCTCGCTGTCGTTTGCAATAGGTTTCGCTTGGTTGTTTGTTTCAGAAATAAGGTCTGATGGTTGTTGCAATGGTGTTTCAGGTTTTGGGTCTGCAACAGGTGAGTTTTGTCCACTAGTTTCAGCAACTTGAGGCTGTGTAGTCCCACTACCAGAAGGAACATAAGGACCTCCTGTCGTCAATCCAGCTTCTGACATGAGTCTAGAAGCATTGCTTCCAGGTACGTCCAGCACAAGCCAACGTTCTGATCGCTTCACGATATCTTCGCCTGTCAATGGTTCTCTAAGATTGATTTGGACTTCAATTTTTCCGCCCGTCTTTTTTCGACTACTATCCAAAAGCTATAAAAAATGTAAATAGTGTATACAACAACCCAATTTAACATTACATCAAAAGTATCGGAGATAGAGGTTTTTGTGAGCAATTTGTCCATAGGAATCGTAATTTTACCCAAAGAAACAGGTCTTCGAAACAAGCCATAGCTGTATTTATTATGAAGCACTTCAATTGACAATTTCTTGCGTTGTAAATAGCGCATAAATAATCGATTAGTACGACTGATAGGTATCTGCATTTCAAAATCGAATTCTGGATCAATACCAGAGGCTACAGGCGTTTCTCCTTTGTTCATGGCTGCCTGTGCTGTGTTTTCAGGTGGCCAACCTCCAAAATCCCAAACGACAAAGGGATCTAACTTGGTAGAAATGTCCAGCGTGGGTAAACTTGTAGCACGAATAATTTTGAACTGCATCATGTTTTCAGGGATAGAATCCATGATATTTTTGTAGATATAATTGACTTGTTCAAAATGAAGGCTGGGAATATTGGGTTGGTTAGCACGAAGTACCATTAAATCAGCAGAAAAAGCCTTTTCAAGTCTAGAATAAATATTGACATGTTGAGAATCAGCCAATGCGTTTGATTTCTTGGTATTTTTGCTAGTACGGGTATGAATTGACAGGTTGTGGCAAACGTCGATTTCATAAGTGAGTTGGGCTTCGATTTGTTCAAAAGAGGTATCGTGTGTACCAAGTTCAAATTCTTGTATTTGACGGATTTTTCCATCGCCTAAAGTCATGTCGGGTGCGTCGGGTAATTGAGCTGTTATGATCTCGCCATTTTTGAGACGAATGCCAGTGTGCAAAAGCTCTTTGGATGTGCGGACCATTTGCTTTGCTGCTGCAAGGTTGCCTAGTTTTTTATAATGCAATGCTGCTTCTTTATACTGCTTTTGTAAACTGATGACTTTTGAAAGCAATTCTTGGATTTGAGATACTTGTGCTGGCGAAAGAGCAGGAGCAGGTTGAGTATTAGAAACAACAGTTTCGGAGATCTGCTGTGGCTCAGGAGGATTGGGGGTCTGTGGTCTTTCTTTAGGTGGAGTTTGTGGAGCAATGGATTGTTCTACATGATCTTCAGCCATCAAATCATTGTATTTCTGACTGTAATTCTTTGATTCTCTAAGCAGCGTTACAGCTTTCTTCTTGTCACCTTGTCTTTTGGCCTCTAAAGCCAATTGTTGGTATTCTTGTGCTTTCTTTTGCCAGTATTGAGGATCTTGTTCAAGAATTTTTTGTCTCTTGTTGTCTGTAGGCTCAGGTATATCTTCTTGTCGTTTGTTTTCTGTTACAACTTCAACAACTTCAGGTGGTGAATCAAATAAATAATTGGCAGCTCTTTCAATGTTATTGTCAAACATATCCAAGGCCTTTTGTGCTTGTTGTTGAGTAAATCCCATATTGATAAGTTCAAGGGCCTGCTCTAAAGGAGCTTCTTGCTGCTCTCTAGACTCATTGTTTGAAAGAGAAGAAAGCTCATTCTATAAACTGTGAGTGATTCTATGTCGAATCGATAATGACTTTACAAGCAATAATGAATCATTCATATCTCTTTCATCCAATTCTACTTGGATATCATCGTCACCTTGAGCAAGTGCTGCGTAAGAGTCAAGATCAATGTATATATCTTTAGGCTGCTGCTTGGGCTTTTCTGTTTGCTTTGGTTTGCTTGAAACAGAAGAAGAAGATAGTTCTTGCAGTTGTTTCTATGCTATTCTATTAGCGAAAAGCAAATATAGGTTTACAAAACTATACCAATAGTTCAGGGTCGTTCATGTCAATATCTTGGTGACCTTCTTCAAGGTTTGAGTTGAGCAACGCGTCAATATCGTCCATATTGAGTTCAGCTGAAGCCTGCTTTTTCTGTTTACTGTACATAAAGGAGTAATAAAGATAGATCTCGGCATTGTAAAGCAACCTGCTGACTTTCTTCACGTGCATTCTTCGGTCCGCACAGTGACTGTCGAATGTCAAGTGCTGAAGGACTTCTTTACACAAAAAAAAAACTCTGTCTCTCTCTCTTTCGTTCTTCTCGGTATATATGACTACTGAAAAGAAAGACATAAATAAGGACACAGGCAAGTATAGACGCATACAAGCTTCTTTTTTTTTGCTGTTTTTATTTTAACACACTTTTTTTTTTATTTAGCTCCCTTAGACCCCATAGATAAACGCATTTATATTGGTGGTTTACACCCTGCCACTACTGAAGAGCAGATCCAGGAGCGTTTTAGTAAATTTGGCACAGTGTCCAATGTTTTGATAGCTAAAAATACAAGCAGTAATTATATCCATGGACAAACTATCATTTTGATCTGAAATTGATCTTTTGTGTTATAGATGAATGTCGAGGATTTGCCCATATGACTATCCATACCACACCCAAGAAATGGGAATCATGTATATATCACTTTCAATCGTTGTTTTCTTGGCTAACATGCTATGATAGGTTTATCTGTTTACAATGGTGCTAAATGGAAAGGTTTAGAGCTGAAATTAGAAGAAGCAAAAATGGATTGGCAAGAACGTAAACGACTAAGAGAAGAAAAAATACTTGAACAAGAAGAAAAGAAAAAGAAACGTTTGCAGAGATGGAATGACAGTGATGGTTTCTTTGCTAAGGATATGAGTCTGGTCACAGACAATAATATGGGAACACGAAAAGGATGGAAGCGAGGACGATATGGTAGAGCCATTGCTATAATGCGTTTAAAAAAGGAAGATGGCACAAAGGCAAGTACAGCATTATCGTATGATATGAGTTGCTTATCCATTTTGTAGTTTGTGTTTGATCCTTCTCACTATAAGAATAACTTGACAAAGCTGTATAATATTGGTGTGCGAATGAAACCAATCAACAAGTTGATTACTAGCATTGATTCAGACGAAAGCTCAGATGAAGAAGATTGGCCATCTATATCAAACGTACATAACGAGAAAGAAGAGGAAGACGAGGATGTAGAAATGACAAGCATTGACGATCAAAAGAGAAGAGCAGCTATGGAAAAGATGTTTGAAGACCAACAAGCAAAGAAAGAAATGATTAGTAAATCACTTGCTGCTTCTCAAGATGAAAATAGACAAAATCACATTACATTCAGTGGTGATGAACAAGAGGAAGAAGTGGATGAAGCATTTCAAACGGATACAGAACAACCTAAAGATGCAAAGAAATGGATGTTTGATTCAGATGATGACGATGAATCTGATGAAGAATTTGATATCAAAATCAATCCTGTACTTGAAGGCGAAGAAGGTCGTAAGCGACTTGAACTTCAAAAGACCTTTAAGGGCGATGAACGTTTCAAGCTCGGAGAAGACTTTATAGATGAAGAAAAGAAGCCCAAGAAGAATGTGGGTGATGATATCTCACAGGAACTAAGTGCTGAAAAGGGACAAGCAATGGACGTATTACGTGCCATGTTTGGTGAAGATAAGGTGGATACAAAACCACCAGCAACTAGAACGCAGACATGGTCTAATGCTGCTCGTTTCGATCCTGAAGCCGAAGATGCTTCAAAATACCTTATAGAAAGAACTCAAGAAGAAGAAAAGGAAGACAATGATAATGAAGAAGAGAACGAAGAAGAGAACGAAGAAGAGAACGAAGAAGAGGAGGAAGACGATGACGATGATGATGATGACTTCTTTGGTAAGGCTATAAAGCAAATACTTTGTTTACTGATGTATCGTTAGCTCAACTGAAAAAGACTGAAACTGCAATGCCCGAAGTTTCTACAGAAAAGCATTTTGAAGTCAATGCTAATTTGAAGCCTTTGTTTGGCGATGCAAGTGAAGGTAAGGTATGAACCGCTTTACAGTATATCTGATTCTATTCTATATGATAGCACCATTTACGTTGTTTGGTGGAGATGATAATGATGATAACAATCAACCAACACCACTCTTCAGCAAACAAGCTGACCAAGATACCTCTTCTTCTCTCACATTCAAGCCAAAGAAAGCAGACAGTCGCCTTGGTCTAGGTGTCATGTTCTTTTTCCATTTTGATGACCCTTCTCTCTCAAAAAAGTAAGTAGCATGTTGTCTATACTTTCTTATTCATTCTCTTTTAGAAGTTGTTATGCTTATGATGCAGATGGTGTATTCCAACAAAAAGCAGAAGAAAAAGATGCTTATGAATCCAAATGGAGAACACAACGTCCTGTTATTAAGGAAATCCTCAAGAAAAGACAAAAGAATGCAGTTAAAAATCAAAAGAAGCGTACTACACGCGATCTTAAATAACATTTGTAAATAATAATAGCATTGTATTTATTTGTTCATGAATGTTTTTGCTAAGGACATGACTTGCTCACCACAAAATCTACCTAATGCACCTTGAGCAGCATCTATTTCGTTAAAGGACTGAACAGAATCACCTTCTTTTAAAGAGCTGATTGCAAAAGGAACAGGCTCGCAGCTATGGTCACCATAAAGAGCTGGCGTTGTATGATCTCCTGTTACAATAATGGTGTACTACATTTGTTTAAGATTTATGTATGTGAGTATATAGACTTACATTGGTATCAAGAGAGTTTCTTAAACTGGAAATCACAGACCCAATCATGTTGTCTATCTTTTCAAGATAGTATATCTTCTTCTCTACATCATGATCATGACCAGCATCGTCCACGGCTTTCAAATGACAGAATCCGAAGTCATATATGTCAGACTGAATATTGTTTATACACGCTTTCGCTTTGGCATCAAAGTCTGTACCATAATCGCCAGTAGCACCAGGTACATGGATCAAGTCCATGCCTACTGTCATACCAATACCCGCAATAATACAGGTGGGTGCAATCAAGAAACTCTTGAGGCCATGTTTCTCTTGAATATTAGGTACATCGATACAACTACCACAACCTCTTAAAAGGACACAGTTAATTGGATTCTTGCCTTGTTTGTTTCTTTCTTGATTGATCGGATGTTGCTTGAGAGCTTCAGTCAATACAGTCGAGAGTTCATTCGTTAACTATCCTAGACATGAGTTCTTGCTGAGTATCATACGTTATGTTACCTTGCTTGTCATTTTAGAAGCTTCGTCATCTACTGTAGGCTCACAATACACTAGTTTTTTGCTATAATAGACATGATTGAGCACATGCAAATTATACCAACAACATTACTTGTCTTTCAGAGGATCAGTGCCTGTAATTGAAGATGATAAACCAGGTCCTCGTACTCTAACACCACATCGATGTTCAATAGCATACTTGACAGCGACAGAATGTTCAGGAAAAGAAGGTAATTTGCTGGAAATTTCATTTTAATAAGGCAATACATTCTTGTACAACTTACATGCCATCAAGAGCCTTGCACAAAATAGGACCTAAGCCTTCAAAATTTCGATCTGCTTTTCTTGATACCACAATACCTGAATCTTCATCCAAATAAGCAAAGTTGGACTAGCTCAAGGGTTAGTTTTTTATCTATTTTATTATGCTTTACTTTAAATGCAATATCACCGGGAATCATGTCGAGACCAGCTCCCATACTCTCAAAAGCACCTCTTCCTTCATAATAACTAAAAAAAAAAATACATAAGCTGTAATTCATATAAACTGTATTTTACATTCTAGGGTCATAGCCTAATATAGACAAGTGAGCAGTGTCTGAACCACAAGCTAAACCTGGTTCAACAGGATCTAACAAGCCGTTTAAACCAGTTTCTTTTTATTGATCAGTATACGCGCTTTTTTTAGATCTCGAGTTACTTGCTAAACTGTCAAGGTGAGGTGTATTGGCTAGCTGAAGAGGTGTCTTTGAGTCGTAATGTGAAATACTGACGTCGCCTAAACCGTCTATCAAGAACACTAATAGCTTATTTTTCATCTGATTAAAAAAAAAAAAAAAAAAAAAAAAGGAAATAAAGGAAATATTTTATTAGAAGACAGGTTATTGTTGTTTTGGTCTAACTGGATCTGTAGAAAGAAGTTAATAAAATGCTATAAACCACTTTTATCATTTACCAAAGTAAAGGTGTGCCATAGCTTCCTTTGCAGTGAGACGTTCTTGGTGATCATATCTTAATAATTTATCCAAAAAGTCGATAGCCTCATCAGTAACAAAGCGTTGATTGTCATTGTTGATAAATCTGTTCCAAGGTTTACGTGGATGTCTACCGAGAATATTGTTGTATTCAGGAGAGAGAGTAATAGAATATTTCTCAATGTATCTAAAGAGTTCATCTGTACCAAGCACACGGGCAATTTTTACTAATTGATCATAGTTGTCGTGACCATGGAAAAAGGGTTCTTTGCGGAAAATCATACTGGCAAACATGCAACCATAACTCCATAAGTCCAGACTGTAGTCATATTCTTGGAAATCAACAAGCAATTCAGGCCCTTTAAAATAACGCGATGCTACACGAACATTATATTCTGTTCCCGCATGATAAAACTCTGCCAAACCCCAATCAATTAATCGTAGCTATTGTATATATTTAGTACCAAACTAAAAAATATGGCTACATCTTACCTGTCTCTTTTCGTGATCAATCATCACATTATGAGGTTTGACATCGCGATGCATGATGCCTTTTGAATGGCAGTAATCCAAGGCCTACAAAAAGATGAGATATAGGCATACTGAGTACAATTTGATAAATACCTTGAGTAATTCATACATGTAATATTGAATATCAAAGACTGTAAAACGTGGATAAAGAATTTTGAATTCAGTATTATTGACATATTCAGAAATAATAGCAGGTGTCTTTGACTATAACATCCCATCAATAAACCTTTTTTTTAATCTTCATACAATACTTACAACAGGATCCCGAACAATATCCAAAAGACCAACAATATTAGTACCTCCTGCGAGGTTTTGGAGTATCTTTATCTCACGTCTAATTTTCTTCTTTTTAACAGGTTTCAATGCCTTGATAATGCACTTTTCATTGTTGGTTATGTTGATACCTTGAAACACTTCAGAGTATTTGCCACGTCCTACTTTACGAATAATTTCATAGTTTTCTTGGTTACTAACAAAGAGTAAGTCCCGAGAAAGCCTATCTTGATATCTTACCCCCACTCGACTTGAAGGTTATCATAATCCCAATAAGAAGTAGGCATATTGGCGTTCACGTCTGCATAACACCTAGCTATACTCTTACTTGCTGAAGTCATATTAATTTTTTTTTTACAGAGAAAAAGAGAAGAAAGGAAAAGGAAATGTCGCTTCTTGTATTCTCAAGTCACACAAATAAAAACACACGTCATGTTTTTTAATGTATGTTTTTGATACAAACTAATGCATCATGTTACAGTAGCCTGTCATTGGTAAGGAAGACGCGTATCATTTTTGCAGAAAGTTGAAGTCGATTGAGCAGGAATGAATTGCCTGAGCTGACCAATTAATTGATGGCGGATTTTCAACACATCTCATCTTGTTTGCATTGTTGATTGCATGATAGTCTCGAAAGGCAAAAAATTGGAAAGTAATGCACAAGCTAAATTGGCTTGTTTGTTTCATAAAATTAGCTCAACATGTCTATAAATAAAAACGCTTTATTTTTATGGGTAATGGCTTATTTAATAGCACTTACTTTTCTCTATGAATCATTCAATTCCATTTGGAGAAGTATGTGGTTTTCTTACAAGTGCTTAGAGATAGCACTTTATGCAGTTGTTAGAGTAGAATATCTATTTTTATCAAAGGCAAATTCAAACTCATCATAAATCTTTACTGAATGAGAAAAATCAATGCAAGTGTTTCTTTTTCCCTTTGTTTTTTCTTTTTTCCTTTTGGTTATGACTGACTACACTAACCTTCGAAAGATTGTCACTGGTGATATTATAGTTAAATGTAAAAGACGAAATAAGACAAAAAAGACACTAAATAAAGTATTCTAGGTCGTTTAGGAAACGATATTCGACGTATTCCCATTAACCAAGTACCCACTTATGACGAGTAAGTTAAAAATGTCTCGAGAATTTCATCCATATTGAGCGTGGTTTAATAGGCTTTATTTGATGATGTGTCGTATATTCAAGGATAAACTCAAGTCTTCTGAAGATATTGTATTGAAATACATGGACAATGGTATATAATGTTACTTTTGTGTGTGTATATATTAATAACGTCTTGATAGAGGGCGACATGATTAGTTTATTAGATGACGTGGATATCACACACGCCATCTCTATCAGCAATTTGCTCAAGGTCTTTATCTACGATAAATCCACTTTTGAGCATCAGCCTCAACTACTTACATCTCTGATGGAAGTACGTGATAGTTTAAATGAGTTGATTCAATCGTTTGATATCAAAAAAGGCGAGTTGCCTATTGAATCAAACCAAGAAAAAGTTAGTAATCTGACACGTAAGCTCACGGCAGCCGAATTAGGTTTGTAACAAGTTGTGTATACACAAAAGAAAAATGTTGACAATGACATGTATAGCTAAATTTGATACCAGTAAGAATGACTCAGAGGAAAAATCCTCTGTTAAGGAACTTACTAGTATGTCTCCCAAAGTAAATACTAGTATTCCTTACTATCCTCCACCAACACCACAACAACAACATCATCCACAACCACCAATTCCTCAGAGACAATCATCACAAGAACATCCTCAACAACAACCCATTCAAGGATATCCATCAGCTCCTCAGCAACAGCAGCAACAGCAAGTAGCTCCTCAACAAATGCAGCAGCACACATATATCCATACACCTTCAGTTTCTGGACAGGCACTACATCAACAACCACCTGTAGCTCAAGCCATGAATTCTGCTACTGTATATCCCTCTTCTCCCTCTTCTGTACTGCAACTACATCAGCAGCAGCGGCAACAACAACAACAACAACAACAACAACAACAACAACAACAACAACAGCAGCAGCAGCAGCAGTATAAGCAACAATCATTACCATTGCGACATCAACCCCCACCACTATTACAACAACCACAGCAATATAAAGGTCAGCAAGGGCCTAATGCCCCTTCCAATAACTATCCTTTGCCACCACAAAACAACACTGATTCGAGGTTACAATCGCCTTATTTTGTTCCTCCTCCACCTTCGAACATGAACACGCCTACCAACACAAAATCCTATCGTTGGTAGATTTGAAATAAAGTTTATTTTATGCTGAATAAGGCTCAAGATAAACAGGAATACCATAAACAACAGGTGCGGCACCTATTAAATAAGAAAGTTTACATTTGCTTCTTGATTCTGTTACTGCTTGCACCAGTGATTTGTTTTGATTTGTTTGTTTAAGCATTCCCCATGCATTTAACATGTACTTTGTCAGTCGATCAATACTTCTATCTGTCACGTCCCATAAATTAGCTACTACAGCAGGACTATTCGAAACGTTAATATATATATATATGCATATCATCCTTCTTACCTTCCAGCCAACAAGTAATTCAATACGTAACCATAAGGATCGAATTCACCATGTGTTTCTAAAATACCACTACTACAGCCCATCAATAATGATACGGCACATGTAGGTAGCTGCCTCACAGTTGTGCCTCTCATGAATGCTTGTCCTGCACTATGACCAAAATACATATATAAGTCGCGGGACTGTAAAGCTTCTTTCATCTGTAACTCCAATGGCTTTCTTTGAATCACGCCGTCCCAACCACGCACACTTTTAAACAGAGATTCGAATTCATTTTGTGTGTCTTTGAGATCACCGCCAGGGTTCAAAACATAATAAGCATTATTTTGAGAAATACTCAAGTCAGTCCATTGATCCGTTGCTATCATGCCAAAATCATTGAAGGCCGTACGGCCATTGTAAGCACGAACATGTAGAATACGGTCTCTTAAGAACGAGAGACAAGGTAAGCGAGAGACAGACTGAGGTCGCAAAAGAGGCATGGATTCTAAGGGCAGCATTTGAAGATGTTTGTCCAAGATAAGAATGAGATGATCATTGGGTATATTCTTGGTTACGTTAATGCCAGCCATGTTTGATTTTTCATGGTATCGGGAATTCAAAAGACGGATTTGATCCATGAGCTATAAAGTGTAAGATAAGATAATACATAACAATAAAACTTACTTTTTTCAAATCTATTCTAGAGTAATCAATCGGAACTCCTTGTGCTTCATAACATGCCAAAGAAAAATAGATCACATCTTCTATATCCCGTACATTAGGAAGTTGGCCAAGGCGAAGCACCATACGACAGAAAGTCAAGTTTAACTCCACTTGTTTCTTTGTTCCCGTCGCTTGATTCACGCATTTAAATATGACTTCGTTGATGGACTTTTGGAATTTGCGCAATTCTTCTTTATGTTCATGACAACGACCTGTCAACATAGCCTTGAATCCACTTAGCCATTGATTCTCAATGTTGTCGAGCAGTATCTTTAATCGATTGTCCAAGTCTTTTCGTGTGCTCCACCAAGCTTCGACTTGAGCAGGTTGAGTACAATTGCCACTGTTGTGTATCGTATCATCACTTGCTTGAATAATATCTCTGAGTTCAGATAATGCGTCCTCGTACTGCATAGTGGGTGGGTAAGTGTTATTGGGACGATGCTTTGTTCTATTTAAGGGCAACTTGACTACGAAAGGCTCTTCATTCGTTCTAAGTCGCGTCATGTACAGATCCTTGTTGTCTACATCCATCGTGAGCGAGCAAACTGTCCAGTGAGGAGGCAAGATGTTTATAAACTTGTCTTGGAATTCTTTATCGCTCAAGTCATTCTCTTCTCTATACAGTTCTACCAAGGTGTTTAAATGTGCTTGTAACCACCGAGGATTACGCTTACTCCCTTCTGCCTCTTCATTTATGGGCCATTCCGTATCGCTAGGCAAACAAAGATAAGCAGGATTTAGCTTGATACGGAGTGAATTTTGCATTTCACGACGCATATTGATTCCATTTGCCATGGATGTATAATACGATTCAAGCAATGCATAATTGTTGGCTAATGCACGACTTTGACTTGACAAGTGATTTTTGAGGAACATGCTAAACCCAGAGTTACTACAGAGGAACTGAATGATAGGTGTAGCTTCACGTGCCCAACCAATTGATTTTGCTTCAAGCATACGTTCCAGTGTGTTGGCGAGTGTGTCTCGGATCACTAAAAGGTCTTGGTTTATCGCTGTTTTCTTGATCATCGTGCCTCTAGCTGCTTGTGTCTTCATAGCAGGAAGTGAAGTACTTTCGCGATACAAGACATTGGATTCAGGTTGACGCTTGACTTCTTGGCGTATCATGGCAAGTTTAAAACGAGATAAAATAGCATAAAGTTCGACTTCATCAGCAATAGCTGTTCCTGATTCTTCTATTGTTTCAAGCAAATCCACTGCTTCTTGAAGATATCCTTTATCTGAAAGTGCAATAGCTATATGTCTATGAGTTCAATGCTTCTTCAGGAATGATCAATTACCTTTTTTGAGAATAATCAAGTTTTGAGTTTTTTGTAATGGTAAACATTCATACTTGTCAGAGGCTTCCATATCATTCTCAGTTCCTTCTTTAATGTCTACCAGATGTTCCAAATTGGAAATATAAGACGACGTTGTCAATTGAGCTAACAAGTATTCTGCTTCCGTATAGGCTTCAAGAGAGATGTCTGAATAACCATTCGCCAAAGCCAGATTAGCCATGTGTATTTTTAGCTTGACTTCATCCAGGATATGGTATTGCCCATTCAACTCCAAGCCTGAAGCAGTCTCAAGCTCTTCTTGCGATCTATCCAAATCACCATATTTAAGATAATAAGTACTGGCGGACAAATGAGATTCGAAAAACAAGGCAGCAGAATTGACTTTTTCAGCCAAGAGAGGCCCTTGCTTGACAAAGTATTGTGCTTCATTCCAAGAGCCCTTTGTCATGTAGAGATGAGCTAAATTCTGCAATAAGAGACTGATCTTTTGAGCGAGAATCCATTGAGATTCGCGATAGACCACTTTAGCTGCTTCTTCTTGTCTTATTGTAGGCATAAAAGGATCCTCTAGTTCGTTGGATGCAGATGGTTGGCGTTCTTTTTCTGATTTTTGAATCACCTTGATACATTTGTTGAGTAGACCCAAGGCAGAAGTAGCATGATCAATAGCACGGTCCAGAGAGTCTATTCGGGCCAGAATCATGGATTGAGCAGTATAGACATCAGCAAGGAGCATGCAGCGCGATGTGTATGACTTGACAGTGGTTAGAGGGTCCTTGTTACTAACAGAAGATATATATTGCCATATAGCTTTTGTGCCATCAAACACTTCTTTGCTTGTCTCAAAATCATCAATGTAAGTCAAGTATTGTGCATAATGAATACGGTAAAATACTTGAGCAAGATTTGAGCAATTGTAGTTCAACATGAGCTTTTTAGCATGATTGAATTCAACAGATGCTTTTCCTGTATAGCCTAATTCGCAATAGATCTTCCCAATAGTGCAGATATAAATAAGTGAATCTATGCAAGAACATCAGAAGATAGTTAACATACGGCTTTTCTTTTTCTTACCAGATATATGATCAACCTGAACATCCCGAAGACCATTGTTTAGTTTAAGCAAAGTGCGTAACGCACTGATTCGATAAATAGGCTCACCAGTAACAGCAAACAAGTCTGCTAGCATACGAACATGATCATAAAACTGATCCAAATCATCGATTTCATCAAATACTTGCTGAATGTCTAGTTTAGAAGAGGGTTTGGAGTGATAGATAGGTGCTATTTTCTTCAAAAGAATACCCCATTGTTGCAAGCAAGAAGCAAAAACACTGGGCGCTTGCTCTTTTAATTCCCTTTCACAAATGGCTATCCATGACATGGACAAAGCAAGATAATAGCGTCTGTAGCTTAACAAATTACTGTCTTTACCATAAACTTGTACCTTGAGCAACTCATGAGCCTTTTGAGCACAATCCAAGGCAGACTTGACATTGGCTTCTCGATCTGAACTTGGCTTGCTTCTTTCAATACGAACTTGAGATAATAGAACACGGGCTCTTCGAATAGGATGTTGGTATGGATCATAGACTTGTAATAGTTTCTTGACAATAGCCATTTGGTATTTGGCAACATTCATCTTTAAAGAGAGAGTATGCCATACTTTGAGTTCACATTCATAAATGATACATTGTTCCAAGATATCGAGTCCAGTCATATTGACAAATTCACTAGCAAACTGAATGCTAACCATGTCAGGATCAGTAACAGCAGCACGTAAAAAGCGGTCCATCAGTTTGGGTATCAGTATTTCACGTTCAATGATCGTAGACACAGCTGTTGTATCGGATTGACGAACAAACTTCCTTATCGTAGTGAGAGGAATACGTTTCAAGGCAAGACGATAGGCTTTGATTGAATCTTCATAGTCTTTGTTTTTATGACAACAGAGACCAAGAACTTCGTATCGTTTGCATAACTGGAGTTTACCTTCTTCTGTATTGGCTCTGTCTACGTCTTTTTCAAGTAATGAACTAGACTTGCGTAAAGGATAGATAGCATGTGGGTAGTCATCTGTCTTGATCATAGCAGTACCCAAACTATAGTAAGCACCCGAGAGCCATCGATAGCCTGTGTTGAATCGTTTTTCAGCGCACATTTGTTCAGCCGTAGAGAGATATTCGTAAGCCAACTGGTAACTATCTTGGTTCTGAACATCGAACTGCATACGAGAAAGTAAGATCATGATATCAATGAAGGATACAATGATGTCTGATTGTGAAATAGACCGTTTCGAAGTCTTTGTAAAGCATAAGTTGGTAGGCAAAGTCTCGCTGCACTGCTGAAGCACACCGTTTAAATAAGCGACAAGGCCATTCCATTGTCCAAAATCCTTTCCAGCTGAAGGTGATCGAGACTGTCGAGTATCTGAAATGTACTGAAATAATCGTTTGGCACTTTGAAGAAAGCTACCAATACTTTTGCATAGATTGTAAAGCGCTTGTTCTGCGTGTTCGCCTTGCATCGTTTCAGTAAGGTTAGAAACAATCCGCAAGCAAGAGATAGACTCATTCAAAGTCGTACTGATGTCTGCAAAAGTATTGTCGAGTACAATTTTGTCCATTTGAACAGAGCCTAATGCAAGCTTAGCATTGGCTGCATAGGCTGCATGATAGAAGCTGCATGTTGAAGGGTTTTCAATCACATGGCGCAAAGGTCGAATCATAAACTTGTATGCATAAAAAGCACCTTTATAACTCTTTGCTTTTCGAGAAATGTAAGCATAGTATTCACATAGCACAAAATAAGAGTCCATAAGACCAAGGTTCTTGATATCTAAATTGATATTCTCAAGGAATTCATTACAGCATTTCTGGACATAAGTGTACATGACTATGAAGTATTAGATGCATAAACTAATCTATAGGCTGTTTACTTGCCTTGACTTGTTGCTTTTTCATAAGTAGTGCCAATCACTACTAAACGGTCCATAATAGATTGCAATGAAGTCGATCCTGAAATTGTCAATGCTTTTAATGCAAACACTTGAATATGATATGAATGAAAGGACGCTTCTTCTGATGAAGGGAGTCGATTTGTAGCTTTGTATAGTAGTTTATGCAGTGTATCTAATTGCTTTTTTGCTGTTGTCTGGTCAATCTTTAACAAGTGTTTACACCATTCAATAAAACTGCCTGATCTTTCCAAGAAATAAGGCACATACTACAATAATAAATCAGCTCAAGACAACAGCATAGTTCATGCTTACCTTGGACAAGGCACCTTCATTGATTTCACACCAACTTCGAATTGTGTTCATTTGATAGGCTAGTACAAGCAGAATCATGGTTCTATCATTAATACTAGCATCCAAAGGAAATTGAAAGAGATCTTGGTATTCTTTAAGCATTTCGTTTTCCCATTGATTCTTGATCATAAACTCGGGTATATCTGTTGTGTTATTTTTGGCAAAACTTGAACTATTAGGCAAAGATTCAGTCAATCCACCCTTTACGATGTTCTTTTGTGTGCTGTCAATCACAGTAGCAGGTAATGATTTAGGGTTCAATTGTACTTTGGCAATACCTGCCAATAGTACACGGAATTTACGAATTTCGTCTAATGCGCGTTGATGTTCACCCAATTCAACCATTTTGCAGATCAAATTCGACGTAGCTTTCTCAATATCCAAAGGCTTCAATGCTGTATAGGTATTCATGTGCCGAAGTGCTGTTAGGGCATAAAAAGAGGTATCTAGCAAACAATTCACTGCAATAGTATAGTCTCCAGTACTCAATGTTGCCCTTTTGAGTCCCACAAGTGTTTCTATGTTTTGGTTGACGATACGCATAGCGATCGGTGCAAGTTGTGTTGCCATTTGTTTAAACTTGGTTGTTGTAGGTGGTCTACGAGCTGACTCGGGGCGGTTGAGATCGACTTGAAAGGGTTCTAATATCGTCTTTTTTATCTTGATTGCCAATCCATCGTTACATTTTTCATAGTCTTTTAGTTGTAGTAATAAGCCAGAAGCAATATCAGACATAGTATAGAAGAAAAAGCGTGTCTACGACAAGTGAAAAAGTCACAATGGCATTTTGTTTGCGCGCGTCTTTTGAATTCAAAAGGCGCCCCTCTTTTAGTTTTACTCTTATGACAATGGAGGTCAAGTCGACACCTGCCGTGTTGGATTCCTCTTCTTTAACCAAGAAACCAAAGAACCCACTTGCTAATAAACTCAACAAAGTTCTCAACTCTTCAGCATCCGAAGATGCCACCGTAAAAGCAGCTTTAACAGCACTTTCCAATATACCTGATCTGGATGAGACCAGTCTTCGACGCAACCTTCGAGTAACGATCGAGAAAAAAGAAATTGAGACCAACAAAAAGTTCTTAAATGCATTTAAAAGCGTTGTTGTGGTAAATTTCTTGGGTTCTAAAGTGTCTTGTTTTTTTTTAATGGAATCAATAAGCAATTTGATCATTTAGAATCTCAAATGAATCAAATGGAAGCAGTATGTCAAGATATGAAAAAGCGACTTATTAATGCTGAATCACAAACATCAAATATGATTGAACAAGCCAATATTATGCAGCAACATAGGTAGAAGCATATACAGAAATACATAGCTATTAACGTACTCTAGTGCTGTTTGCAATACACAAATTGTCATTGTGGACCGTTTTCTGGAGAAATTTACTCTTTCTGAACAAGAAATCAAAATATTAAGTTCATCTTCTGAACCTGTCAATCATTCGTTTTTTGATGCCCTTGAACATTTGCAAAAGATACACAGTGATTGTCAATTATTGCTTATCACCAAGAATCAAACAGCAGGGTAATTGACTTATCATATCTATCTAGTTTTTCCCTAATCTCTTATTTTTTTGAATAGTCGAGACATTATGGAATCCATGTCTCAATATCAAGAGAATGCATATGACAAATTATACAAATGGACACAATACGAAAGTAGAACATGCTTTGGTGGAGACATCATTGAAGTGAATATCTTGATGACGAAAGCACTTCGTGCTTTAATGCTGCGACCTGTATTGTTTCAGTATGTCTTTTGTATGGTTGATCTGTAATAGAGAACTCATGTGAATGGATAGAACTATTCTTGATGAAATTGCTTCAGCGAGACATGATGCAGTGGCAAGAGCCTTTGTGAATGCATTGACTCGTGGTGGTCCTGGAGGGACACCTCGTCCCATTGAATTACAGGCACCAGATCCATTGCGTTACATTGGTGATATGCTTGCTTGGGTTCATCAAGCGTGTGCTTCAGAAAAAGAAATGCTGGAAAGCCTTTTTCAGTTGCCTGATCAACAGAACAATGGAATCACTGTTCATACAACAGACACTATTAGTGGATTGTTGGACTACGCAATGGAAGGAACAACAAGACCACTTCGTTCTCGTATGGAGCAAGTACTGGTGCTGCAACCTGGTGCTATTACTTCTTACAAAGTAGCCAATTTGATTCAATTCTATACAATGACACTTTCAAAATTGATGAGAAAGAATGCTTCATTAGAAAGAACCTTATATGAGTATGTGATTCTATAGTTGACATGATTCTTCTAATTTGCTTTAAGAATGACAGAACTAGCTTACAAGTATTTCTTCAAGACATTGAGTGTTCAAGCAGAACGGTTGATGCAATCAGCAGAGGTAAATCTAGTTTTTTTTTGTATCCATGTCTTATTTTATTAGCCACCCGATAGAAGCTTATCCATTGCACCTACAGTCAGAGATATGACGATTCAATTAGTAAGGGGATGGTCTAAACATACAACTGACGTTATTTACTGTTCTCTGTAGAAAGAAATCCTGGCATCATATGATTCTTCTTTGATTGTAGCAACGAATAATATAGAAGGATTACCTGAATTTGACTTTTCGGAGATATTAGATGCTATCATTGAGCCACTTATAAATACCTGTGAAATGTCTGCATCCAAACTCAATAAGCTAGACCAAGATATCTATATAGTCAATTGCTTGTATCATATTCAGGTACACAAACACACCAGATGATTCATGCCTCTAATCGTTGTTGTCTAGACTGTCATGATACCTTATTCATTTACTAAACAAAAAAGAGAAAATATTAATGCACGTATGAATGATGTGTTGACTGAAATGGCTACAGAAGAGGCAAGTATAGATGACTACAAAATAGACATGTATATTCATTTTATCCTAGTTTGAACAGTTGCTTCGTCAAGCTGGTCTAGAACAAATCAAACAGACGATAGAAACAAAAGATGAAGAGGTAATGATCTCATATGAGTGCTTTTTTAACTTATTTTTATACTTAGACACCTTTATCTTCTTTGTCACATATGGACGCTGCTTCTCTTACAGAAGCCATGTCAAAGTTTGATTCATTCTTGGTACTCATGAGTGCAGATATATCACCACAACTAGAAAAACTCTCTTCTACACAACACTATCGACAAGTTCAATCAGGTGCTATTCGCTTACTCCTGGACACTTATCGCAATATCAGTGAACAAGTTCAATATCCTAAGAATGGTTACTTAAATCCGGGTCTTATCTTGCCAAGAACTGTGCAGGATATGGAAGCTATTTTTTCTTTTGCTTTAGAATGACATGGTCGTTTATTACAATTAAAGGAAGAGTATGTATCGTTATTTCTGATCAACGTTTTGTGTTGAGGAAGGCTTTATCATTTGAGAATCATAGACTGGAGGCTTTGAAGTACTTGAGCTAGAAACAGGCACTGTTTCTTCATGTAGATTTGTAGAAACTGTAGTGGGTAATTCAAACTTTTTCATGGTTTGATCTTTCCATACATAAGGTACAGATTTGATACCCTCCCATGTATACTTTATCCATGTCTTTAGTCCCAATCGCTGCATACTCAATAAAGCAGCAGATACCAGGCCAGCTACAAACCCGATACCATCATTTGAGTAGGCAACCAACGAACCAGTAGTCAACAATAAAATAACAAAGTTCTCTCGCTTATGGATCTCATCTTTGATGTTATCATTTACTGAACGAGCAGCACATCCTAACTCAATACCAGAAATAAAGAGCATGACAGCCAAGATAGAAGTTGGAAACAACTTCAATAAACCTACGACAGAAGAGCCAAAGAGAATACCAAGTACTAATTTACAGGCACCTAGAAAGATGACAGAGACTTCGGATCTAGCTCCGAATCGATATTGACCAGCAAGTCCTCCAGAACCATGACAGACAGGCATGGCACCAAACCAACAACCAATCAAGTTCATAAGGCCAACACTCACTGCAACATGCGAAGTAGCAGCATGTCGCTCGGGAAACAGCTCATCAATTAGAGCACAAAGAGCAATGACAGAGTTTAAGGTAGTAAGGGGTAATTGGCCTAGACCAGCATTTAAAAAGCCATCACGGAATTCATGTGGACTAGGCACAATCACAGTGTTTGGATAATGACCTCCGATTACTGAAGGACGTGGTAAATCTTTGCCAGCGCCTGTACCAAACATGAGCACTAATGCAAATACAAGACCGATCAGAAACAAGATTAATGCAGAAGGCACCTTAGTACGGTAACAAGCGACAACAAAGATAAAAGACAAGAGGACCCAAGTATTGTTATCTGCCCAATTTGAGCTATCAATTCTCCACTTGAGGTTTGGGATCAGATTATGCGCCTTAATGATCAGTTGGACAGCAGTACCCAATTGAAGGCCTATCGTTGTGTTATACAAGATATGCGATACATAGATTTCTTACCCTTGATAACAGGCGTGGGTGTAAATGTACCTACCAAATGAATTGTACGTGTAATACCCAGAAAGAAAACAAGCATGGCAACACCTATTTTTTTTTATTTTCGTGTGTGAGTTAGAAACACTTTTTAGTCTATTCATTCTACTTGCTTAATCCAGCAGCCATGTTTTCTTGAATTGACATATTTTTAGCTAGCACAACAGCAGCAATAGCTGTCGATATCAATTAGATCAGATAAAGAAAAAATGCTTATTTACAAACCTTTCATTGGTTGAACACATACAGGAACACGGAATAAGATGCCTGATAAAACATTCCATATACCTGTAAACCATAAGGTGCTTGTCAAGTTGATTTGCCCGGAAATAGCCAGGGAGATCATAATAGGCAAAAGAGTACCCAGATCGCCTAAGCTTCCAGATATCTAAGAAAGAAATCAATAATAAGCTTTCTCTTGCGCATTTGACAAATCACATACTTCATGTAATGTAATGTTCTTTTTGATATGTGTTAAATAATTAAGTAGAAGCATTGTTAGAATTAGAAAGAAGGAAAAACAAAACAGAAAAAAGAAACAACCGTTTTGTACTCTCTGAAAACCTGTCCCATATTGTGACCCGAGAGAAAAAATCTCTGTTTTGAAATAACAAACATTAACACTGTCTTTTGTTCGTGTGACATACAGAAGAAAAAGGAAAAATTATCAGTATCAGTACTTTACAATGTAAAGAAAACTTTGACAAGACAACCCAGAAATTCTTCTTTGATATGCATTGATTCTAACCAATCCTTTATAACAAAAAAGAAAAGATCAGATAGGTATAGTTGATATCCATGCTTGATCTTCCTTCATGTTCTCTAGAATAAATGATACAAGACAGTCATCCTTTATTGATAAGATAAAACAAAAAAGTCAACAAACAAATGATAAGGAATTACAAGACTGGCGGAGGTGCAGCTGTTTCCATTTGCGTTGGTTTGCGCTTCCAGACAATTTCTAACCCATCTCTCTCGACCAGGATTTGATCCAATGTTTCTTGCCACAATTCCATTTCCTTATCTTCAACATTTCCACCCATTTCAAGCAGTTTGAGTTGAGGCACACCATTATTGAGTAGAATATCAGCCATGGCTTTTACATCTTGATGTACGATTGAATTGCAGCCTACATCAAGACGTGTGATCTTACTGGATAACAGATCTGGCAATACAATATCATCAGCACCGAATCCACCTACTGAATTGTTAAACAAGCCCAAATATTCCAAAGGTGTATCCAACAAAGCACCAAAACCCTTGGCTGTGATCTCGTTCTCTCCTAATTCCAAGTGTTGCAAATTAGACAAACTAGCAAACAATTCAGCACCATGATCATCAATACGGTTTTGACGTAACTTTAACTCGGTTACTGAACTATTTGGCAAATGATGGATCAATTTGGATAAGCTAGAAGTCTCAATTCCGTTGTTATCAAGACAGAGACTAGTCAATGTTTTGTTGCTAGCAAGAGCCTGACCAATGGCTTCCATCAACGCATTTCCGTGCGAGCTACGTATGGGGTTTGTCTTTTTCTTATCGTCGCTTTCTTCCACTTTACCATCTTTGGGATCCAAAGCAGCAGGAGGCAATGCCGACAAGTCTTGTTCCAAATTAGACACCACGTCAATTAGCTTGAGCACTCGTAAATGATGGTTTTTCGATAATGCTTTTCCTAACAAACAAGCGCCGTCTAACAAAGGATTATCTGACAAGTCCAATTCTCGTACATGACTATGAGGTGCTAAGACTTGTTGTGCAACAGTGGATGCACCTTCAGTTCCAATATTATTGATAGCCATGTTGACTATCTTTAAGCCAGTAAGGGCAGGAGCCAATAATTCCACGGCATAATCATCAAGTTCATTGCGTGCAATATTCAATTCTTCCAAATGCTTGTTTTTAGCTAATGCTTCTGCTAATAAGCGAACTGATTCGTATTTCTTCTTGCTATCACTATTGCTCAATAAGCCTTTGTTCTCGAGATCCAATTTGATAAGACCTTCATTAGCTGCTAAACCTTCACAAAAGAGCCCAAACACGTCTGCGTTACTACCAAAGTGAGTGTTGCCCAGGTTGAGTGATCTCAAAGTCTCGTTGATTGTCAAAGCTTCGCTGAGATAATCAACACAAGTAGCGTCCAGAGCGTGTCCAGAAACATACAAGTCTTTTAATACGGTATTTGACCCGATCGCACGAAAGATCCGTCCAAGTTCTGAAGTTGTAACACGTCGAAAACTGAGAATATGCAGTGAGACCAGTTTAGGATCATTTTCTTCAAGCTGTTTGACCCAGCGATCGATAGCTCCGTCATTACCTCCCCAAGCCATGGTTTTATAAGAAGAGGAAAAAAAAGTTAAAAATGCAATTTTTTTTTGTTTGGTTTTATTTCAAATGTAGAAAAAAAAACTCTATTTCATTTTGACTTACTCATAATGAGAATCGCATTACAATGACGATTTGGCCTTTTTGCTTACCTATAGAATAATATTATCCTTATGTTCATCGATTAGTAAAAGCAGGTAAAAGAGGCATGAAATGAGGAAATACTGAACTGAACTGGTTTCAAACTTTATTTTGGCACCAGGATCATTCATGCGCCTATATTGATTTTATGCATTCACTATCCTAATGGAAAAAGTGCATTTCGGCCAACAGGTTTTCTCTTTTTTTTTTTTTGTCATCCTACTGGGTAAATACATGTAAACATGGAATTTAACTATTGCAGTCAAAATAATGGATAAAATACTCGCTAAGGGTTCTTAACCCATTCATCATACTACAATCTGTACAGCTTTCTTTTTGCGAAATAAGACTAGCCCTAGGTTACAGTTAACTTCATGCTTATCAGCCTTGATTTGATGTTACTCTTGCAACAACCCAAATTGAACATTTATAGAAGGTCTTTATACAGCCCGAATTTTTCTGTGCGGCAATTTTTTTTTTTTT